GGATCAATAACCGAGGGTTTAAAGGCGGGATTAGGGATAACGAAGCCTTGGGTGCGATCTGAAGTGAGCTGTATCAAACGTTAGCTAGCGTAGCTCGGGAGAGTACGTCTAGTAAATTGTCGTGATTACTCGTGAGAGATTTACGGTAATAAGAGTGCTCATGATCGGTAGAGAATACTTAGGCGAAATTATAGAAGACATAGCGGGAAGGATTCCGACAATTGGGGAAATCATAACTCTAGACCTCCTTAATCTTGTCTCTAACTCTTAGTATCTTTAGTTGTTAATTTATTATTTTAATTTGTTAATCAATTAGTTAAACACAAGAATCTAAATATCTATAAGTTAGGAACTGTTCAAGCTTGTCTTCTTGGTGATAGTGAACAGCTGTAGCTAAGCCTTAGTTCTCTGTGGGATTCGACTCCGGACTTGTAAACCGGATTATATTTGCAACGACCGCATTGTCCTTTTTATAAGGCATAGTTGGGCGTGATCAATACCTAAGAATAGCTACAAAAATTAGAATTCTATAGCAAGTTACAGTCTTAAAATTTCATAGCTATGAAAACTAAATTAGCAAAGCTACTAATTCCTCATATTTGCTATAATTGCTAACAACTGTGGCAATAACTACCTGAATAGATGCAAATATTTTGCTACAATAAACTTTTGTAGTTAAGTACAAGTTTTGCCACGCGTCAAAAGTTATTATTGTAATGCTTAGTAACATTTCAGACATAGTAAATTATTTGAAACAAAATATTGTAGCTACATGAATATTTTTGCTTCAATTTATAAAAATATGTGGCATTATAAGTAAAATTAGCCACAAATTTATTGCTAGATAAAATTTCATAGCTAATTTTTAGTTTTTTGCCACGAGAGTCACAATAAATTATTTGAAACAAAATGTGACTAAATGAACAATAATTGCGATTGTCTAAGATATATATATAATTACCAGCATCCATAAGAATTTGGAGCAGGTTCAGCTTTTCCTTGAGATTAAGAGCTGCTTGGAAATAAGAATGTATGTCCAGCTTAGAGCATATACCATGTGTTTCTCATTCATGAGCCCATAACCTCGTGCCGTTGTTTGATGGACAAGTTAGTGACGGCCATTGCTTTTGCATAATACTTATCAAGTCCCAGATCTGTACCAATATATAAAATTAATGCCTTTTCAATTTCACTAAATCAAAAACTAAATTGCTAGACGCTATAGATAAACTTATTTGTCTTTCATTATAACGGGCTGTCACATCACAATTTTTTGGTTCTATAAAGTTGTTGTCATATGGCTTGAACCAACGGATACTAAAACTTCTGTTGGTTTCCCAGTAGTTGGATAGCAGCATTTTTCCAAAAAGTTACCACATGCTGGATTCCACTGAAAATATATGTTAATCAAGAAATGATAGAAGTAGATGTGAAAAAATATAATTGTTCTACGGGATGATTCCCAAGAGCTTACATACCTGTAGAGTAAGGAGGATGAAATCGAAATTCTGAGCTTGTAATAACGATATAGATTGGAAGATAACGAGAGTAACCAAGACAAACTGGATGAATCTCATATTTGCTTATTTTGTGTTAACTTGTACTTAAAAAAGATGAAGAAACCACAAAGTTTGATGGTTTTAGATAGAGGCAAACTGTTCCATTATTTAGCTATTCTGTCAGTTTCTTCGCATGTTGGCAATATATTAAATACCGGCCGCGTGGCCAATATATTATTATCAAAGGTCAACACAATATAAAATATGAAATATTGAATTAATTTAAAAAATATATGTTATTAAAATATACGTGGCAGCCGCATCACGAATTCTTTTATTTTTTGTTCGATAACTTGGATCATATTCTTGGGTGAATAAACAAAGAACTTCATGGTATATGGTAGGTGTTAGACCCTAATGTTGAGACGTGACGAATGTCGGACAGAACCAATGCCAAGGGCTTGTACATTGCCCCTTGACATGGATTCGTGTGGGTTTTGACAAGCAATATATGGAGCTGGGAGCGTGCCCAAGTTAGTGCATGGACTTGGGCAGGTCAGCTGGACAAGGTGCCTTGAGTGTGGCAAGGCATCCTTAGTTGTGGGGCGACGGCTATGGCAGGTGAAAGCAAGCAGGCACATGGCACTTGACAAAGGGATGCGTGCAAATCAGTGGGATGGTAAGGCTGGGACAAGAGTATTGTCATGAGCTAAAATATGTGCGAGGCATGGTCCAAAATACAAGGTAAGGCAGGCTAAGACACAGTGTGGGCGAGTATGTGGAACAAGTATGCAAAACATGTGACTCCAAAGAAGTGTATTGTTGATCACGTCCAAACGCACACCTCAATAGAGATATGCAACGGTCGTATGCAATAATAAATACCCAACTAGGAGTCGGGGTCGAATCCACTGGGCGTTATGATGGGAGCTAGGGGTATATATTTGACGTAAGCAGATGGACTATCTAGATTGCACTTCCACAATAAGGTTTTTGTCTCTATTTCTAATGTTAATCTAATGATTACAAATTAAAGACACAAGACTAGAGATAATTATTTTTGAGGTTTTTCTAATTGGATTAAATGCCTAGGACTATGACCATAACCTAAGTGTTTGCCTAATGGGATAAAGACGTTAATGCTTGTGTAGTTGATTGGGGTGTATTATAGCTCACAACTCTATGTTAGCCACTCAATACCTCTCGGGCAGCGAGTGATTTTGCCCAATTTTGGGGTTTTCAAGATCAAATAGGTATCTACCAAAACGGTTGATAAGAGCTCAAGTCGGGTTATTACTATCTATAGGTTGAACCCTTTAACTGGGTTAATTAATATCTCAATGGACCCAATTCCTTGTTAGCTAAGTTATGCTAGACTAGGTCCCTCTTTCTCAAGTAGAGACTATGTCAAATAGGCATGAGTCAATATTTGCAACTATTTATTCTACAATTGAAGAATGAACTAAGCTAAATAATAAACACCCAATCATGAAAAAGCACTAAATTAATCACCTATAAGGTTTACACACTAGGGTTGGGTCACAAACCTAGTAGAAGTCTAGCTACTCATGATAGAAATTCTAGAAATTATAGAAGAAAAACTAATTAAACTCATACTGAAAGATAAAAATAAAGAAAACTAATGTTAAATCACCAAAATAGTACAAAACTTCTTAAAGTAGGAAAGAAAAACGGCTACAACAACTTCAGAGGTTCAAAACATTACCTAATTTGTGAAACTCGTCTATTTATATAGGGCTAAAAATCTCGAACAAAAATATCCCTCTGGAGGTTCTACGGCCACACAATTCCATGTGGATTTCGCAGATTTCTTCATCGGGTAGGAACTGGAGTTCTGCGGCCGCAAGGCAACTCTTCTGCAGCCTGCACAATTAGGATTGTGGCCGCACAATTGTTGTGCGGTCCACAATTCACAGAGGCTCTAGACTTGGTCTTTTTGTATACTTTCTGATCTTCGACTCTTTGTGGCCGCACAACTCACGTGCGGTCCGCACTTTGTGAAAATATCTGCTAAATTCTTCCTCTTGGTTTGCGGTCGCATATGGAATTCTGCTGACCGCAGTTTCTTCTGTTGCCGTAGAATTCATTCTGTGGACCGCACATTAATGCTTATGTGTCTTTTATTTCCTTGTACTTTGGAATACTCCTTTCTGAGTCAGATTTCATCCCGGGAGATCAACTTCCATCATTCCTGCAGTTTTGCACAATCTCATCAATTTCGAAAATATAATTCAATGCTTTTAAACTAAAACAAAATCTAAAAGGCACTAATAAGCAGTCAAAATCTCCACTTATCAACTCCCCTAAACTTAAGTCTTTTCTTGTTCTCAAGCAAATAAATTAGTTCTCACCTCCAGCAGTTAAGGGTCATTATTACTAGCCACGGTTGAGCCATTCACACCTTAGCTGGGACCAACAATTACCCACACTACTCATGTATTATCAACAAGGCGACAAGTTAACATTTATGCACATATTGTTCTAATGTGACATTCGAGCTTCAAGAATTGACTTTACTTATCACGGGATCTTGCTCTATCTTGTAGGTCATGGTGGACTACAAACTCTTCCTCCTCTACTTTCCATTTGCCAAGCTTACTTAAGAAATTAGCACTCAATTCAACGACTTATGAAAGGCTCACTCATCTCTCTCAAGAGAATGTCACAAGTACGGCTTCAAGTACCATAGATGTGCCCCTCATGTAGATAACCACTAATGCAAGTTCACTTGTCTCAAAATCAAGTAGGACTTCTTTTGCGATGTAATGAACGCTTTTGGACTAGGGTTTGATACAATATGGGTGAGTGGTTGCACCTTTCTTAAGCATTCCATCTTTCTCTTCTCGGCTCACACTTTGCCAATTCCTTAAGGCACTTTCTTTTCCTTGGGGGACTAGAGAGACTTAACATCACTCCTTCTTGATCATTACACTAATTTTCTCCTTTTTTGATTCTCAATGTTTGGGATCATTACCTCTCTTTGAATCCCTTAAACTCTTTCACTTATTCACTTTTTTGCATTCTTGTTTTTGTTCTTTTCTTTTCGTTCCATTCCTTCTCATCATTTTTTTTTGCCTTGATACTTTTTTCAATTTCCTCGTCTCTCCCCAAAACTTAGGTTTTTATCCATTTGTCTCACATGAGTGTTAAGGAAATCTCGGGTGCTAAGAGAGGGTCACGATAGAACGGGCAAAGGCTTGTAACATTGTTTTCAAATGAAAAGGCTAAAGGATCGAATGGGTTGACTAGGGATGACAACACTGGTAGGCAATAGAAAACTCAAACGGGCCAAAGAAAGCCTACAATTACTTCTCAAGCCAAGCAAAACTTAAGATTTCACCTTCAAACACATTCGGGGCAAGTTCTAGACCCTTCACATGGGTACATGGACTAGAAACAAGGAATCTCACCTTTCATGCAACTAGATTGTTAAAGAGGATAGAGTTGAGAGCCCACAATGACCACATTTAAGATTGAAGAACACTATGGTCCAATTAAACTACTGATGGTATCAAAGTTACTAACTAGAGCTATTTCCTTTTAAAATACTTGTCTCTAACCATATGCATGTAGTTAAGTGTGTTGGTGCCAAATGAAGCATGTTTGACTCTTCGAGTTTGACTTAATTAGGTCTTTTTATTCATTACTACTACTATTATTATCTAATTACAAAATAGACTCATTCCCTTAAGAAGGTTGTCACGCCATCCATCTTTGGGGCGAGTCACTTCATTCACACAATAGCTACCTTTGAAAAGAACCGTGGCATTAAGAAAATCAAAGGTTTATTATCTAGGAGAATATAAAAAGAAACTACTAAATCAAACACTAACTAATAAGGAACTAACATAAAGAAGCTAAACGACAAAAACTATTGAAAGCATAACGAATATACACAAAAAGGGAGAGAGAGACAGAGAGCAGATATACACACAATGAGAGAGAAGAGAGAATATATACATAATGAGAAAGAAAAATAAAATAATATCAAGTTATTACAGGCCAAATGTCTCAAAATGTACCAAATAAGATCAATAAAGTAACTCCACCCCCGAAAAAAAATAAACATTATCCCCAATGCTTAACAAATAGGAGTAAAAAAGGGAAAAAGTGAAGAAAATTCCATATGGATCCTTGGACATCTCCGTTTCCCCAGCAATGTCACCGCTCATAGTCTCATCCCACTGAATTTCAACATCCTCAACTCTAGGTGTGACTAGGTTGGTGAACATCTGACGCACTGCCTTGGCAGTGTCAGCAGCAAAGTGTGGCTCCTCAGACTGTCCAGTTGGTGTCACCAGTGCTGATGGTGCTATAGGATCTAGGCATGGCTGGTGTGGGTCAATCAGCATGTCAAAGGGAAGATCTCCAGCTACAGCAAGCTTAGGCACCTGTCTCCGAAGCTTGTCCACTGACTTCTTGCTGGCCTAGGACTTTCTCATTTTCTTACTTCTTTCCCTAGCTCCTCGATCACTGACCCATGTTGTACCAAAGTAGCCATGATATGTTGTGGTTTCCTAAGAGCTTCTTCAATGTCTCTTCCATGGTCGGGGGAAACTGAGGTGCCTAAACAAAGGATTATGCTGCAACAGTACTGGATAAGTCAGACAGCTTTGAAGTGGCTATCTGTTTCACGTTGTTAAGGCTCGTCAATGTCTAGGAGACTCGCCCCGCAGAAAGTGGGACAGTATGCATGGGCATCAAAGTCAAAGCCGAAGTGGAAGCTATGGCAGGAACTGTAGTAGGGACTGAGGATGATAGTGGAGGCATAGCTGCGGCATTAGAGGAAGACTCAGTTGAAGTGGATGGAATATCAATTGCCTCCGCAACTACCACAACTGGCTCATCATACTGCCATGTGGTGGTAGACGGCTGACTTTTTCTGTTTGGGTTGTTCGTATCCAGAAGTGAATACCATCAGAAAGTCTTCTTCGACCTCATCTTTGTATTAAAATCTTTTAGTTCCACCCTCGCATTTGTCGGATACTCTATAATGATGTTGGAATATAGGTAGGAAGAGTCATCCTACCTGGCGATCACTAAGATGTTAGCCGACATCACGGCACCTACATCGATAGGATACCTGGCTATAATGAAGGCAACCAAGACTACCCGAGGAATTAGAAAGTGAGTTT